CAAATTAAATTTTTTTAAAAATATGTATATGTTAGAGATAATACAACTTGAATTTTGTTTGTTTAATTTGATACAATAGTTTTTTTCGAGGTATATTAATTACAAAATGATTTTGCGTGATTGTTATTGAAGATAATGCCACTTAAGTTTTTTTGTAATTTGACAGTAGTCTTTTTTTCGAGATCGTATTATATATTTAAGATGATACAAAGGTCTCATTTTTTTCAATTTGATACAATTTCTTTTTTAGGTAAAAACGTTAAAAAATATACTTGGCGGTTTTTTTTACATTTTTAATGTCTTTTCCACGGATGGATAGTAACACTCAAAGATCTTAAAGACATGAACAATTTGCAAAAATGTAAAGCAGCTTTTATATCTTTTCCGAAAAAAACTGATTTTTCTTTTACATCGCAGTTTTTTTCAGAGGCGAATAAAAAAAAGTAAAGCATAGTTTTTAAAAGAACATAAGTAGTATTTTTAAAAGAAAAATACCTCATATGGCTTCACTTTAAAAAACATTTATTTGACCGAATAAACTAGATCGATTGTCGAACTTTACGCGTGACTGGAATAGCATGGTACCAAGTGGAATGACGTGGCATATGATGGAAGGTTGTAGAGGACACTTGTAAGTTCCCCCCCCCCACATTGCGACCCCACTTCTTCCATCTTGTCGGAATGGCACGCACTTCAAAAATGGTCCGGGTAAATTTTACCCACGTATGGTAATCTAGGGTTAACAATAATTGTAGTCTTGATACAATTTGTAATATTGATATGGACAGTAATGAAAGCGAAAATGATATTGAGATGGTAGAAGAAAGTACATTAAAACCAAAGAAAAAGATATATAGCCAAAAATTTAAAATTGAATGAAAACAGAAGTGGGCTTGGCTTCAAAACATAAAAGGAAGTTCTTACTGCACTTTGTGCAATAAAACTTTAATGAGCGAAATAACTCATTTAGAAAGACATGCACAAAGTAATATACACAGGAAAAAAGAAATATGCCAATCTAAAGTGCCAATCACAAATTTGAAAAAATTATATTCGAAAAATACAGCCGTTCAAGTAGCTGAACTGAAAATGTGTATGTTTATTAGTGAGCATAATTTATCATTTAGAAAACTAGAGCATTTGCGAAAGATAATTCAAAGTATGTGCCCCAATTCAAATATTGTTAAAGAATTTAAATGTAGCAGAACAAAGGGCACACAAATCTTGAACAAACATGTGGCACCTTGTAGTATGAAAGAAATATGCAATATTTTAAAAGGAACGAAGTTTTCACTAATAATTAATAAGACAACCTATATTTCTGTTGTAAAAGTTTAGCTGTAGTTGTTCGATATTTTAATATAATAAAATCAACTACTAGGGATAGGTTTTTGACTTTATTGGAAATATAGTCTTCCAAAGCAGAAGATCTTTACAATTTTATAACGTTTTTCTTTGAAGCAAATGAAATACCCTTTGAAAATATGATTGATATATATAAATGAATATTTATTTTAAGCAATTCTTATTAATATTATATCTTATTAATTTTTATAAATAAATTTCATGTTATAGAATTTGCCGCTGTGCACAATTGTACTGTCATGATGGGTAATTCCAATGGAGTACAAGCCCGATTCAAAAGCAAAATTCCTAATTTATTTGTATTATTTGTGTATATAAATATTGTATTGTATATAAATAGTGTATAAATATTGTAGTATTTGTGTCTGCCATTCTGTGCACTTATGTTCTTTAACTGCCTGCCTAAAGCTACCATCAGCTATGGAAAATTTAGCAAGAGACATTTACAGCTATTTTAAAAATAGTTCTAAGCGTTTCAATAAATTCCCTAAATTTCAAGCTTTTGTAAATTTAAAGCCACACAAAATTTTAAAACCCAGTCAAACTAGATAGCTGTCAATTGAAACTGTTGTCAATCGAATTTTAGAACAATGGACTGCATTGGAATTATTTTTCAGACGCGCAGCTCTTAAGAACAATTTGCAATCAGCAAAGACAATTCTCAATGCTCTAAGAAATTCTATTTATAAAATTTGTTACAGTTTTCTTTCCTTTATTTTAGAAATCATTAATAAAATTAATATTAATTATTACAACGCAGGAAATCTCTAATTACTCAATTATTAACTTCAATCGAAAAATATTATATTGTAATTCTAAAATGCTATTTTAAGAATGATTATATCAATAATACTCCCTTAACTTTTCTAGATTCTGCCTATGCTAGTGAATATTTAGAGATAGATAAAATGTACTTTGGAGCAAAAACTGAAGTATTATATACAACCGTAAACTCCACAGACCTTCATTCTTTTAAAGTTAGGGCTTTAGATTTTCTTACAACTGTGTCGCAAGAAATTAAAAAAAGATTTGATTTTGAAAATATAACACTAAAATTAATAGAAATGTTTGATACAAAAAATTTAAATGGAAAATTTTAAGTGGAAATTATACATCAATTGTTTCTCTCATTAACAAATTTCCTAATTGTGTTACATTAAATGATTTGAAAGCCCTTAATTTAGAGTAGCGATTATTGCCAGAATATAAAGAAAAATTGTTACATTTCGAGGAACCTGAACAATTTGGGATAGAAGTAGGTTTATTAGAAGTAGGAAGTGAAATTGTTTTCCCAAGATTATTTAAATTTGCTACAGCAATATTGTCTCTACCTCGTAATAGTGCAACAACAGAGCATATTTTTCCTAGTCTTATTGTTAATCTAATAAAAACTAAAATTAGAAATAGGTTGCATATACAAACTTGTGATTCTCTTTTGCATGCCAAAGAAACTTTCAACAATGAAGAGTGTTATAAATGGGAGTCTTCTAAAGAATTATTAAAACAATTTTCAAAGTATGATTTAAAAAATAACAATAGTAGATAGGCAGGAAGATTTCCCGATCAATGAACGGGGGCCAGCGGGAGTGCGGCGTGTGCGGGTGAAGGGAGGGAGGTAGGACGGGAGGTAGAATGCAACAAGATGTCGCTACTTCCTATCTTGCTACCCCCACTCGTAGCCGCAAACGCCTAACCCCGCTGGTCCTAGTTTCATTGGCGGGAAACTCTCATTGTTTCACTGAATGGGGGAAGTAGTCCTATACCCTGGCGAAAATGAGAAGTTTTGTAAGCGTTTTTTTGGCGTTTACGTAAGCGTTTGCAGAAGTTTGTTAAGAATTTTGAAATAGTCAGTAGAAAGTGCATAGAGCGGAAATTGCAACACTGCAACGTTTAAAAGGCGTTTGTATACAGCGTTTTTGAGAGTTTGTACAATGTTTACTTGACGTTTAGCG